CCTTGGTGGTTGTTGTGTTTGTAAAGTGTGTATGTCATTGAAAAAAAAAAGAGAGATGTTTTTAATTAGGCTGCGGAATAGTTTAATGGAAACCCATGACTAACCACAGGATGCTTAAAGGCATTCAACGTGCAAACGCTGTAGTTGAATTTGGGCATATACACAAAAAAGTCTTTTTCTCCCCACAGCAACAATCAGAATGACCAAATGCGCATTAGGATTTGAACATTGACAAAATTATAAGATTGTATACTTTGATTTCGAAAGGCATTCCTTGAACATGACACTTTTTGTGTCAGAGTCTATAGGCTAATTTTTCTGAAGGTCTTGTTAAAGGGGACATATGCAAAATCCACTTTTTTTAGACATTAAATTCATTTTGTTTTGTACTTGTAGTGCATCAAAGTGTAATTTAGTTTCTTCCAGTACTACATAGATATCCATTCTCTTTGGGTCATATTTTTCAAGTTTTCTGTATTTTCTATTATGTTTTCTGAACTATTATGTCCCAGGATTTGCAACGGAACTTCTAAATAAGCTCTGAACTTACCAACTATAATTTGGTCATCTTTATTCTCCCCTGGCTCTGAGTTAGACTCCAACCTGCAAGGCTGGATGGACAAGTCTTCCCTTGTTAACATCTTTTAATGCATTTGTAAATAAAATGTTTCTGCACCACTACATAGTCGTAAACCCCTCTATCAAGGTACAATGGACTGCTCTAGAAGCTAGAGGGGACGGGGTGTGAAACGCCTCCTTTGGATTTAAAGAAACAATCTGAGACACACCTCAGATACGGGGTGAAAGAGGGGCTTGTGGAGTTACAGTAAGGAGGAATTAAGACCAAATCATTGCAGTTCCACTTTATATACCCAAATTAAATAATTTAAATAAAAAAAGAAGGATTTAAAGGCAAATACTTCCAATAATCAATAAGATGTTTTGGTAACAGGGTTGACTAACAGGTAATACTGAGGTTTTCAGCAGAAATTTTGTGATGAGTAACACTTGAAGTCCTAGGGGCGGGGCCACAGGGGCATTGGCCCCATCTGAAATCTGATTGTTCCCCTGTAGTGCCCCCTGTCCTTTCACTCATCTGCCCTTGCCCAAGAACAATGATGGTGCCTGCAGTTCCACTTTCAACCACTAGTAGCACCAGTGAGTAAAATAGGAAAGTCTAGCATGAAGCAAATTTACAGAAGACTTTTTCAATTTGAACAATCCTGCAGAAATAAGTTTTTTACTGACAACGATGGTTAGATTTTCACTTGTCTGTTTGGGAGTATTTTATTTATGTACAGTAAAAATTCATGTAAAACTGATAAGGAGAATTTACTGTGCAAGCTTTTACAAGTGTTTGAACATGTGTGACTATTAAATGTATAAACCTTACAAAAACTGGGGATTTGTGTGTAAGAATTTTAAACAAATACTTAACCTCTCTATGAATATTGTGGCCCCTTGATGACTGGAAAATCCTGGATCACTGAAAAATCCTAGATTCACCATTGCTTGGAGTATGTGATATGACTGACTGCCAGCTGCAGCTGCAGCCAATTTTAGGTCAGCATCTACAATACTGACTGAAATATATTTTTGTACTTTTAATGTCAGTTGGCTGTAGTGGCCATCTTGAAATGAATGGACTCCAAAAGTGAATCAGCTGTGTATACAACCTCTGATTATTTTCGGGAATTTTCAATAGAATTTGTCACATCATTTATGAGAGCTTTTGGTAGCAGCCACACCTTGCCTTTGTTTTAAACTAAACTTTAGGCTAAAGGGTGCACAATCAATCTGCACATGGATCTTGCACCGTCATGTCCGTTGACCAATAGCAGAGGAGCTGACCCAAGAAGGACCGCCCACCTTATTTGCATAATGATGCAGAAATGCAAATGGTAAAGTAAATACAGGATACAGAAGATTGTAAAAACATATACAAATAAATAGACTTGTGGGGAAAAACAATAAAAAATTAATTAATTAAGAGACATAGATGCATTTACAAGTAAAAGGAAAAACAAAAATGTGATTTTTTTAAATTATGTGCCAAAATATATAATTTATTGGAACTAAGGTGGAAAAATAAACATGAAGGTCAATTAAGTTATAAAACATGATGTAAAGTTCTTTTGACTTTAATTGGTGTATTTTAAGCATATACGTATATCTATTAGGCAATTTATATATTTCGGCTTTTAACTTTATGTCAGTTTCAGTTCTTTTCTCTTCTTTCACACACAAACACACACAGGCATGAGCAAAACCATTATCGCTCATTTAAGCATTTTGACAGCTGGTAATAAATAGGGCTGTGTATTGGCAAGAATTTGGCGATACGATACATATCATGACAGAGGGGTCACGATACGATATATCCCGATATATTGCGATACTGTAAACAAGGCGATATATTGCGATTTTTTTGTCCAAAAATTCTATTAAATAAAAACCTCTTACAGGTGCCAACTAGCCGTTCATTTTTATGTTGTAGTTCAGCCTCTGACCACTAGTTGGCAGCAGTGAGCCAGGCTCACTGCTGCCAACTAGT